GCGGCTGACCGTCCGGGCGGTTCAACGCAACACGTGCAGGCGCCCACGAATACTCCGGCGAGGTGGGGCGCGCGGCAGGCCGATGGGGAAGTGTTTGCACCCGCTCGAAGCGGCGAACGGGCTCGCTTGCGGAGGGGTGCGCAAGGAGACGCGGACGAGGCCCGGCAGGCGCAGGCTGCGGCAGCGCGCTCTCCGCGGAACCCTCCAGCTCCGGATCCCGTCTCGCGGATGGGTCCATCACCCCTGATCGTACCGCAGCCGACGCCAGTGCGCCGACGAAGCGAAAACGAGACGGACGCGGCGCCGCAGACAGGGCGCGAGGGAGCTGCTGTTGGAAGAACAACGCGTGGAATCCGCGTAGGACGCGGCAGCCGCCGCGGACGACGAGGTAACGAGAGAGGACGAAGAGGTGGTGGAACACGAGGTTCAAACAGGCGCCGCACAGGTACAAGCGGCTACGCGAGAAATGCGGAAAGGCTGATGCGAAACGGCGCGGAGGGCGGCAAGGAACCGCTTAGCGAGGAGGCAGAGGAGGAAGTGGAGAATGAGGAAAGTGACGAGGGTGACCCTGCTTTTAACCCTGAAAGAGAGGGGATGTTGGGGGCAGAAGCCGAGGAGGACGAGGAGGAGTTGGAACTTTTGCTTCGAGGAGAGGAGCTCCCCAGCCCCAAGGTCCGGGGCGAACCTGCCAACCGAACCACAGCTCAGAACCGAGCCGCGGGGGGAAATCACGCAAGGAGGGGAAATCGAGCCGCGACAGAGACTGGAGTTGACTCTGCGACAGCCAATGAGAATTCAGCAGCCCCAATTCCGACCCCCCCAATGCTCAAACCTGACGACCTGGCGAAAAATACAGACCTGTTCACCCAGGTTGCCGACTGGGACACTGGCCCGCTGCGAGACAGTCGCCAACCCCCAGTCGCCCGCCACCCTCCAAAAGACCTTCGCGAGTCTTTCGCGATTTGCCTGCTGACACCGTTACTCCACCTGGCAGCAAACCCCGAGTCAGAACCTGGCTGGATGTTACTCACCTTCCTCCCTCGCTTACTTCTTCGCTCCTCGTCAGCTCGTAAGCCTAACTGGAGCGCAATGATGAACAGGCTCCTGCGATTTCGCCAAGGGCTCTGGGCCGGCCTCTACGAAGAAGCTACCGAATCGATCTCCCTCCCCCCGCAGCCTCGCCACGCACCTGACACAACTGGAATTCTCGCCAGAGCGGAGGGCCTGGCGAAGCGTGGTAACCTCTCAAAATCGTTGCAATCCCTGCAAGCCACGCCCGTGTCGCCAGCCTCACCTGAAGTTCTCACGGCCCTCAGGACGAGACACCCACCTGCATCCCAACAACTACCTGATTGGCTGCACGCTACCACAGCGGAAAACCCTCCCGCTATCGAAGCCCGCGACTTCAGAAGGATCATCGCCAAGCTCCCCAATGGAGTGGGGGCGGGCCCCTCAGGAACTACCTTCGAACATCTCCGTGATGCAGCACTAGGAAACGCCGAAGTCTTCACCCACCTCCTAGCCCTCACCAACACGGCTCTGGCATGGAAGCTACCAGCCGTTGCAGGAGAGCTACTTACCGCCTCTCGTCTTTTGGCCTTCACGAAACCGCACGGTGGGACGAGGCCGATCGCGGTTGGGGAATGCCTACTTCGGATCATCGCCAAAGCCGCTCTGTTCCTGATCGCGCCCGCCGCTAGATCTCACTTCGTCCCCCTTCAGTTCGGCGTGGCGGTAGCGGGGGGCATTGAGGCCGCTATACACACGGCTAGGGTTGAGCAAAAAAACGAACACACGTTCGAGGCGAACCGAACAGGTTTTTTTTTTTGGCTTAAAATGTTCGCCGAACAGTGTTCGATGTTCGCCCGAACACGTTTGTGTTCGGGCCGCTGCTGCAATTTGCCCGCGACGAACACGAACAGTGTTCGAGGTTCGCCCGAACACGCCTTCACAGGCGAACGGCGAACACCATTTTTTGCTCAAAGTGTTCGCCGAACCGAACACTGTTCGGTTCGGCAAACGAAGGTGTTCGTGTAGGGGCGAACACGAACACGTTCGTGTTCGCCACTTGCTCATCCGTACACACGGCACGTACTTACCTGGAAGTCCACCCCGCGGCAGTAGCGCTACAGATCGACCTCGCGAACGCGTTCAACGCGGTCGAGAGGAGAGCGGTGTTCAAGGGGTTGAGGAACGAAGCGCTCGAGAGCCTCACCCCCCTGGTCCGCCTGTCTTACGGAGTCCCCTCCTCGCTCTTCCTCGACCATGAGTTCGCAGCGGCTCCACTGCAAAGCGCCAGGGGGGTCCGCCAAGGTGATCCCCTCGGCCCCCTTCTATTCGACGCCAGCATCCACCCCTGCCTCGTTGCGACGGCCGTGGCTCACCCGCAGGTGGTCCTACTCGCCTACGCCGCCGACATCACGCTGCTCGGTGATGCGTCTGCCTGCGTCGCGGCCTTCGACCACCTCACAGCCGCGCTCGCCTCCATGGGGCTCCTTCACAACCCTGCTAAGTGCGCGGCTTGGTCCGCCGCCCCAATTGACCCTGCCTCCGTCCCCCCCGGCATCACCATCTCGACCAAAGGGCTGCAAATCCTCGGCAGCCCCGTCGGCACAACACAGGGCTGCGCCGCGGCAGTCAGGGACAGGCTTACGGCAGCAGCTGAACCGCTCCCGTTGCTAGTGCAAATGGACCCGCAGCTCTGCCTCCTCCTCCTCACACGTTGCGTCAGCCGCCGCGCCTCCTTCCTGGCAAGGACAACCCCGCTGGAGGTCCTGCCCACAGCAGAATGGTCGGCATGGGGGGAGCGGCTGCTCCACGCGTTCCTAGAGGCCGCGCACATTGTCGCGCCAAGAAGCAACGCAGAAAGGAGGCGTATTTGGCGGCAGGCAGCGCTCCCCGTTACCTTGGGGGGTTTAGGCATTACAGACCCGGCCGTGGAAGGGAGTTACGCGTACCTCGCTTCGGTTGTCGGCGCGGCTCACCTCCTGCACTCGCTAGCCGACTCCCTACACCCCGCCATAGCCGCACTGCTCCCCCTTATGGACTCCGCCCCGGACTCCGCAGCAGCCCTGCCCTCGCGCCTAGCTGCAGCTGAAGCGGCCCTGCACCCTGATGGCCTGGAGGCCCTTCAGGCTGGTAAGAGCGACCCCAAGGGACTGAAGCTCCAGCAGTCCCTGGCCCTGGCGGTCCACACCCGCCGCTACCTCTGAGTGCTGAACACGGCGCGGCATATGCGCCCAAACCCCCTCTCAGGGCATGCTCAGCGGATGCAGTCCCTGCTGGGCCTGGGAGCAGGGGACTGGCTGCTAGCAATCCCTCTCTCTTGTGCGCTGAGGCTGGGCCCCTCCCAACACTCTACTGCTTCCTCCTTCCGCCTAGGCCTCCCCCTCCCTGTCCCAAGGCGGTGCGACTGCCGATACCGCACCACCTTTCCTGATGACCGCCTCCCGAATCACCTTATGCGCTGCGAGAAGGGGAAAGGGAGGACTGCCACACACCATGCTCTCAGGGATGAAATCGCAAGGATAGGGGCGGAAGCAGGCTTCACGGTTCACAAGGAGACCTATGCCTACTCTTTGGTTGAAAACCTTAAAGCGGATGTCTCCATCCGCCATCCCCTGACCGGAGAAGTGTGGCTTTGTGACGTGACCGTGATCGACCCAGTGTCCTTCCAGGACGAGAACTGCAACCGCGCACCTGGTTGGGCGGCTAGGGCGGCAGCTGCTCGGAAGGAGGAGAAATATGCGGGACGGAATGCGTGGGTGGGGTTCCACGCCTTGGCCGTGGAGACCTACGGCTACCCGTCGCCGGGGGTACTGGCTTACCTGCGGCAGTGCGCGGAGCTGGCTGCGAAGCTCCGCTACAACGCGGCCCCTACCTCTTGAGAGGCTGCCAAGCTGCTGACGGAGTACCGCCAGCGCTGGAGCGTGTGCCTCCAGAGGGCACAGGCAAATGCCCTCCGCACCAAGACCAACGAGGCCCTGGAGGCGGACGAGCTCAGCCTGCAAGGGCCGTGGGCCCCTCTCAACGAGGGGCAGCTGCACCAGCTGATCGAGCCCCCGTCCGACCACTAGGGTCGGACAGCGGGGGGAGGGGAGGGGAGTAGGTGATGGTTGATAGGTCTGCTTGTTTGCCTAGTTTGCATGTGTCTGCTTCAAACCTTTGTACCACCCTTCAGCTAATACACGGGCCATTCGAGAGAGAGAGAGAGATGGATTGCACTGCATGTTTTTGTACCCCTGCTGAATCAATACAAAGGACCGTTTGAGAGAGATGGAGACAGATTACCGCCAGCGCTGGAGCATGTGCCTCCAGCGGGCGCAGGCCAATGCCCTCCGCACCAAGAGCAACGAGGCCTTGGCGGCGGACGAGCTCGGCTTTCGGGGCCCCATCATCCCTCTTAGTGAGGGACAGCTGCACCAGCTGATTGAGCCCCCGTTCTACCAGTAGGGCCGGACAGAGGGGGGGAGGCGGGAGTAGGTAGGGGACGTGGGGTAGATAGGATACCGGTTTGCGTGTTTGTTTAGCTTGTGGGTTTGCATCTTCCACTGTACCACCTCATAAGTAATGCAAGGACCATTCGAGAGGGAGGGAGGGATAGGCGTTAGTGGGCGATGAAAGGGTCACTGTGACCTCGAACGACTGGGCTTCCTCTGGTGTGACCAGGATGGGCGCATGAGGAGGGAGGCGATCGCAAGAGAGAAGGGGAGGCGATCGTAAAAGAGAGATTGCAAGGGTCACTGTGACCTCGAACGAGTGGGCTTCCTCGAACGATGCGGCTGCCAGGCGAGACAGACAGACAACCAGCGACGACTAGCGACGCCCTCAACCAGAGCGCGGCAAGGCTCAGGAGGACAGCTGTCTCGTTTTGAGTCGACTCAAAAATCGACGCCCTCAACCAGAGCGCGGTGCGGCTCAGGAAGACAGCTGTCTCGATTGACAGCCGCATCAGGCGAGATAGACAGACAGTCAGCCAGCGACTTTGCCCACCCACCCACCTGGATGCCAATCGAAGGAATGGTGATGACGCCATCGGCGGCAGTGCCTCTCAGGTCGCCACTGATGCGACTATCCGGCGACACGGCAGCCAGAGACGTGCTGTCCTGCGCCACGCTCTGGTTGAGGGCATCCAAGACAAGCACCTGCAGCCCCTCTATGCGCGCCCCCACTGCTGCCCGCACCACAAAGGTTTCGCCCCTTGCATTCACCATGCTGGAGTCCTCCTCCCTGCCCGGCCACCTGAGGGGAATGTTGGGGGGGTATTAGAGGTATGGTTGTATGCCTGAGCCCCTCACTCTCCCTCACACCACTCCCTCTCTCTCCCTCACACCAATCTCTCACTCTCCCTCACACTAATCTCTCACTCTCCCTCACCCCACTCCCTCACTCTCCCTCACATTACTCCCTCACTCTCACTCACACCACTCCCTCACTCTTCCTCACACCACTCCCTCACTCTCCCTCACACCACTCCCTCACTCTCCCTCACACCCCATTCTCACTCACTTAATGGAGAAGCCAGCGGGCATGGTGCCTTGGGTGTCGCCCGCCCCTCGGAACGCACACCCCTCACAGAGCGAGCGGAGGTGGCGGTGGGTAGTGGCCTCAAAGAAGGCCGCTGCCTGCCGGTACAGCGCGCTGTTGCCCTCAAAGCTCAGCTGCTTCACCACCAGCCGCCCCTCACCTTGCTGCCCCAGCCCCGGCCCTTGCTGCTGCTGCTGCTGCTGCTGCTGCCCCTGTCCCTGCCCCTGCTGCCCCTGCTGCTGTAACTGCCGGCCTCCACCTGAATTTCCACCTGAGCCACCTGCTCCGCCAGAGCCTGCTGCCCCTGTTTTTTCTGCTGCTTCTGAGGCACCCAGGGGGAACCGCAGCACGTACACCCCTGCACCGCCCAGCACCGCATAGTTCCCACTGAACTCGCTCCCTCCCACCCCCCCTGACGCTTGCTCTAGCACAGCCACCCCTCCTCCCGCCACACTCGCGTTGTTCCCCTTAAAAGCACATCCCGATACATTCACCACTGCAGTCCCTACAAACGCCGCTCCTGCTCCCACCTGCGCAGAATTCCCACTGAACACCGAACCTGAGGTTAGGTCCAGCCGAGCCTGCCCGTCCACTGCCAAGCCTCCGCCCAGCTCCGCCACGTTCCCCTCGAACCTGCTCCCCTCCACCACCGCAGCAACCCCGTCGGCCAATCGCAGCGCGCCACCTGTCCCTGCTGGGTTCCTATTCCTAGAGAAGGTACACCTGGTGAAGCGTCCATCTGCCAGCCCCTGCAGCAGCACCGCTGACACAGCATTCCCAGAAAACGCCGAATCAACCGCCGTGACATTCGCCTCGGCTTCGGCCGCGATCGCCCCGCCATGCAGCGCGTAGTTCCCGGTAAAAGAACTAATCGATACAGTCACATCCGATACATGCGTCGCGTACACCACGCCCCCCATATAGTCCGCGCGGTTACCGGAGAACACTGTGTTGTTTTCTGCCTGGAGCCTTGCTTCCATCTCCACCCACACGGCGCCTCCCCAGGGGGCAGAGTTTTGAGAGACGTTGCAGGCGAGCAGAGAGAGAGTGGCCGCGCCGCTGATCCGGGCAGCTCCTCCTTCGCTGGTGGCCCGGTTGAGGTTGAGGCGGGAGGAGAAGAGGCGGGCTGTGGCGTTGGCTAGGAGGGAGAGGCAACCCCCTCCAGTGGATGCTCTGTGGGGGGGAAGGAGAGAGGAGGGAGGCGGGACGTAGGGTGGGGACAAAAAGGAGTCGTGTCATACAGTCACAATCCGCCATAGTCACTGAAAACTCCTACACTAGAACGCCCCCTCCCGTGCCAGCACTCTCGTTCTCCTCGATTCGACTCCCCTCCATGCGCATTCCCACACTCAGCCCCGCTTGTCCCCCTTGTTCACCACCCACCCACCCACACACACACACACACACACACACACACACACACACTCTCTCTCTCTCCCAACCCCACACCTGTTCCCTACGCATACACTCTTCTCCCCCTCACCTGTTGTTCACACAGTCACAGTTCGTCATAGTCACTTTGGAAAACTCTTGTATGAGCATCCCCCCTCCCATGCCAGCACTCTCATTCTCCTCGATTCGACTCCCCTCCACGCGCATGCCCACGCTCAGCCCCGAGTAGATAGCACCTCCCCCCAGCGCCGCCCGGTTGCCCTGGAAGGTGCATCTGGTGAAGGTCACTGTGGCAGGCTTGCCTTCAGATTCCGCCCTGTAGGCTGTGAGAGGGAAGTGGGTTGATAGAGGGCAGGGGGGATGAGGCAGGCAGGCTTGCAAGGCAAGGCAGGGTGTGCAATACCTGTGTCACACACAGGTATTGCATATTGCACTCCAGTGAATGTGCTCCAGTGAATGTGAAACGCATCTCCTCCGTGCTCTCGCTGTACATGGCACGCGGGCACACAAGCCCCAGGGCTGTGTGGGCATGTGTGCCCAGCCCAGCCCAGCCCGCTCCCTGCTCACCCCACCAACCACCACACCACCCTTGCTTGCCACCACAGCCCCTACCTGTGACGGCTCCGCCCTGCAGGCCAGCCTCGTTCCCCTGAAAGACCACGTCAGTGAAACGCATCTCCGTGCCCTCGCTGCACATGGCACGGGGGGCACATACGCCAAACCCTGTCCATGATCGCGTTACCTACCACAACCCTTCCCTGCCACAGCCCCTACCTGTGACAGCCCCGCCCTGCAGGCCAGCCTCGTTCCCCTGAAAGACCACGTCAGTGAAACGCATCTCCGTGCTCTCGCTGTAGACAGCACCTCCCTGAGCTGAGGGGCACATACCCCAACCCTGTTTCTGCTGCTCACTGCACCCGCCCACCACCCCTACCTACCACACCCACCTGTGACAGCCCCGCCTTGTAAGCCAGCCTCGTTCCCCTGGAAGAGCACGTCAGTGAAACGCATCTCCGTGCTCTCGCTGTAGACAGCACCTCCCCGGGATAGCCCCGCCGTGTTGCCCTCAAAACGGCTGCCGGTTATGTCCACTGGTGACAAGCCCTGCGGAGGGGGGAGGAAGAGCAACGGGCACAGGAGGAAAAGCGGAGGAGTGGGAATGGGGGAGATGACAGGTGATGGCATGGAATGGTAGGGAGCACACGTCCGCCGTGTTGCCCTCAAACCGGCTGCCGGTTATGTCCACAGGTGACATGCCCTGAGGAGGGGGAAGGAAGAGGAGGAGAGGGGGGGGAGATGAGAAAAGAGACGGGAGTGGAGAGGTGAAGGGTATGGGACGTTTTCTAACGAGACTGATTCATTTTATGTCCCCCGTTTCTCTATTCAAGCAAGCGAGGAGGTCGAGCTTTGTGCAGCAGCAGTGGTGCGGTGCGCCCCCAGACCAGTGGCATGGCGTATTGGAGTGGTACTGGGTAGATGCTGTCTTCACTCATGGTTAGGAAGGTGCATTTTGAGGCGCCTCAAAATTTTGAGGCGCCTTTGGAGTGGTACTGGGTAGATGCTGTCTTCACTCATGGTTAGGAAGGGCAGCAGTGCTAGGAAATGCTTTAGCAAAATCAAACCCCTAAGAGAATTCTGAACGAAAATGCTGCATTCACTCAAAGAGAACATCACCAACTGCAGAGTGGAGAGGAGTGGAGACGTAAGGAGGGGAATGGACTCATACCGGGTAGACGTTGATTGCACCGCCCTGGGCGAGTAACACGGAGTTGTTGGAGAAGGAGCAGTTGGTGACGGAGAGCGGGCCGTACGGCATGAAGTGCAGCGCCCCCGCCTGACTGGCCGCCCTGTTGCCGTGGAAGGTGCAGTTGGTTAGAGCAGTGGTGGCTCGGGAAACCACTGGGGCCAGGCGGGAGAAGGCATGGGAGTTGTGAGGGGGGTTTGTGAGGAGAAGTGAGGAGCTTGTGAGTTGCCTCAAAGGAAGTGCAGCGCCCCCGCCTGGCTGGCCGCCCTGTTGCCATGGAAGGTGCAGTTGGTGAGGGCGGTGGTGGCTCGAGAAACCACTGGGAGGGAGATGGGGGGGAGAGAAGAGGTGGATTTGTGAGGGGATTCAAAGGCATCGCCAAGCTCCTGCCTGAATGGCCGCCCTGTTGCCGTGGAAGGTGCAGTTGGTGAGGGCGGTGGTGGCTCGGGAAACCACTGGGAGGGAGGGGGAAAACGATAGGGGTGGGGGAGTAAGGTGGGGTGGGGGAGTAAGGTGGGGTGGGGTGTGAAGAAGAGAGATTGCGCCATCCTGATTGTGTGTGTGTGCACTCTGTGTGTGAAGAAGAGAGATTGCGCTATCGTGATTGTGTGTGTGTGCACTCTGTGTGTGAAGAAGAGAGATTGCGCTATCGTGATTGTGTGTGTGTGCACTCTGTGTGTGAAGAAGAGAGATTGCGCTATCGTGATTGTGTGTGTGTGCACTCTGTGTGTGAAGAAGAGAGATTGCGCTATCGTGATTGTGTGTGTGTGCACTCTGTGTGTGAAGAAGAGAGATTGCGCTATCGTGATTGTGTGTGTGTGCACTCTGTGTGTGAAGAAGAGAGATTGCGCTATCGTGATTGTGTGTGTGTGCACTCTGTGTGTGAAGAAGAGAGATTGCGCTATCGTGATTGTGTGTGTGTGCACTCTGTGTGTGAAGAAGAGAGATTGCGCTATCGTGATTGTGTGTGTGTGCACTCTGTGTGTGAAGAAGAGAGATTGCGCTATCGTGATTGTGTGTGTGTGCACTCTGTGTGTGAAGAAGAGGGATTGCGCTATCGTGATTGTGTGTGTGTGCACTCTGTGTGTGAAGAAGAGAGATTGCGCTATCGTGATTGTGTGTGCACTCTGTGTGTGAAGAAGGTGAAGGGATTGTGAGTGTGTGCATGCGCGACAAAGAGAGAGGCACAGTGTGTGTGCAGAGCAGTGCAGTGCAGAGGGGTGCAGTGCAGTGCAGTGCGGTGCGGTGCGACTGACTCACTGGCTCCACCAATCTTGGAATTCCCGTGGTCGCCGTTCTCTATAAAGGAGCAATTCGTTACAGTCACGTTGCCCGCATCCAGATACACAGCAGCCCCCTGCCCAGCCTGTTGGGGTGAGGTGAGGATGGGGCGATAGGAAAGGAGGAGCACAGTGTGCAGAGAGGGGACGGCAGGGGTTAGGAGGAAAGACGTTGCCCGTGTCCAGATACACTGCTGCCCCCTGCCCCGCCTGTTGGGGTGAGGTGAGGGGAAGGCAGGGGTGATGGGGCGATGGGGAAAGGAACACAGGGTGCAGAGAGCAAGGCAGGGGTGATGGGGCGATGGGGAAAGGAACACAGGGTGCAGAGAGCAAGGCAGGGGTGATGGGGCGATGGGGAAAGGAACACAGGATGCAGAGAGCAAGGCAGGGGTGATGGGGCGATGGGGAAAGGAACACAGGGTGCAGAGAGCAAGGCAGGGGTGATGGGGCGATGGGGAAAGGAACACAGGGTGCAGAGAGCAAGGCAGGGGTGATGGGGCGATGGGGAAAGGAACACAGGGTGCAGAGAGCAAGGCAGGGGTGATGGGGCGATGGGGAAAGGAACACAGGGTGCAGAGAGCAAGGCAGGGGTGATGGGGCGATGGGGAAAGGAACACAGGGTGCAGAGAGCAAGGCAGGGGTGATGGGGCGATGGGGAAAGGAACACAGGGTGCAGAGAGCAAGGCAGGGGTGATGGGGCGATGGGGAAAGGAACACAGGGTGCAGAGAGCAAGGCAGGGGTGATGGGGCGATGGGGAAAGGAACACAGGGTGCAGAGAGCAAGGCAGGGGTGATGGGGCGATAGGGGTTAGTAAGAAACATAGTGCGGGCAGATAGGGGTTAGTAAGAAACATAGTGCGGGCAGATAGGGGTTAGTAAGAAACATAGTGCGGGCAGATAGGGGTTAGTAAGAAACATAGTGCGGGCAGATAGGGGTTAGTAAGAAACATAGTGCGGGCAGATAGGGGTTAGTAAGAAACATAGTGCGGGCAGATAGGGGTTGGGCATCCACACGCCTGGCGTGTGGAGCACGCAGGGCAGAGGCCTGCTCAGGTGAGGATGCGCCCAAGGGGAAAGAAGATGCTCATAAATACCTTCTAGGTTCCTCAAATATTGTTTTGAGACGTCTCAAAACAACACTTTTATCACGTGGCCGAAGGGGAAAGAAGATGCTTATAAGTACCTTCTAGGTTCCTCAAATATTGTTTTGAGACGTCTCAAAACAACACTTTTATCACGTGGCCAAAGGGGAAAGAAGATGCTTATAAGTACCTTCTAGGTTCCTCAAATATTGATTTGAGACGTCTCAAAACAACACTTTTATCACGTGGCCGAAGGGGGAAGAAGATGCTCATAAATACCTTTCAGGCGCCTCAAAAATCCACCCACTTACTGCATTGATTTTGAAGATTGAGTCGGGGATGGTGATGGGGAAGAGGGGGGGTCCATGAACGCGAACACCTTCAGCGCACCCACCCACCCCCCCCCACACACACACGTGCACTCACCGAGTTGTTCTTGAAAACCGAGTCGGAGATGGTGATGGGGAAGAGGGGGGGTCCATGAACGCGAACACCTTCAGCGCACCCACCCACACACACATGCGCACCTACCGTGTTGTTCTTAAACGTGGAATCAGCGATGGTGATGGGGAACAAGGGGTCCATGAAGGCAAACACCATCAGCGCTGCTCCCTGCGACAGGTACGTGGCGGAGGCGCTGCCGTCGCCAGCAGGGGTGGGCGAGGCGGCGTTGCTTTGGAAGAGGCAGGCGCGCACTGTGAGGGCCGCACCGTACGACACGACTGCTGCTGCGAAGGATGGCACGTTTGTGACCACATTGTTTATAAATCGGCAGTCGAGAATCTGGTGTTGTGGGGAGAAGAGTAAGATGGAAGGGAGTGGGCGGGAAGGGGGAGAGCACTGTCAGGGCTGCACCGTACGACACCACTGCTGCTGCGAAGGATGGCACGTTTGTGACCACATTGTTTATAACTTGGCAGTCGAGAATCTGGAGCGAGGGGAGTGGGGGGGGGGAGGAGTACGGGGGGCAGGGGGAAGGGGAGCAGAAGGGGAAGGGGAAGGGGAGTGGGAGCATGTGGAGGCAAGGGTTAGTGCTCTGCCATCGCGAGCAGGGGTGGGGGACGAGAGGTGTTGAAGAGAAGGTGTTCAAGAGAAGTGGTGATACCCCCCCCCCCCCCCCCCCCACACACACACACACACACCTCCGTGACTCCCGGCAGCATAATAAGTTCCAGACACCCCCCCTGCATGAACGCCTGGTTCTCCTCAAACACACTCCCCGTGACTGTCAGCGGCGCCACGGCCGATTGCACGCTGATCGCCCCGCCAGTCAAAGTCGAGGCGCAGCGGCGGAAGGAGGAGTCCCGGACGTGCATGTGCAGGGAGGTGTTGAACAGGATTGCGCCTCCCGAGGGGAAGACTGAGACGTCGGCGCCCTGATCGGCGGTGCAGGCAGTGAAGGTGGTGTTGGCGATGGTGGTTGAGGAGTTGAACTCGTTGATTGCCCCACCTGCCATGGCCTGTGGTGGTGGAAGGAGAGGGCGGAGAGGGGGGAGAAGGGGGAGAAGGGGGAGAAGGGGGAACAAGGAGTTGAAAGAAGGAGGGGAGGAAGTGAGAGTCCCTTTGAGAATTCTCAAAAGTCACACAGAAGGAGGGGAGGAAGTGGGAGTCCCTTCGAGAATTCTCTAAAGTCACACAGAAGGAGGGGAGGAAGTGGGAGTCCCGGATGTGCATGTGCAGGGAGTGTTGAAGAGGATTGCTCCTCCTGAGGGGAACACTGAGAAGTCTTTCCCCCCTCTTCTCCCCTCTTCCCCCCCTTCACCCACCCCTCGCCTTGCACACTGTGAAGCTCGGGTCTTCAATGGTCAGGTTGGCAGCAGAGAAAGAAGCGATGCGCCCGCCGTATCCCCCTGCCACGCCCTCCTCCCCCTTTCAACCCCCCCTCAACCCCCCCCTCACCCACCCCTCGCCTTGCACCCTGTGAAGCTCGAGTCTTAAATGGTCAGGTTGGCAGCAGAGAAAGGAGCGATGCACCCACCATACCCCCTGCCACGCCTTCCTCCCTCTCCGTGTAACACCCTTCAAAGCTCACAACTCTCACCTTGCACCCAGTGAAGCTCGAGTCTTCAACCGTCAGATTGGCAGCAGAGAAAGAAGCGATGCACTGCACCCGCCATACCCCCCTGCCACGCCCTCCCCTCCCCCTCACCCACCCCTCACCTTGCACCCAGTGAAGCTCGAGTCTTCAACCGTCAGATTGGCAGCAGAGAAAGACGCGATGCACCCGCCATATCCCCCTGCCACGCCCTCCTCCCTCTCTGTGTAACACCCTTCGAACATCGCCCCTTTCAGAGACACTCTCGCCCCTGCTCCCACGTACAATCCCCCGCCAACGCCCCCACCCCGCACCCTGCTGCTGCTGATGGTCACAGCTGTAGCAACGAGAGTTGTAGCTGTAGCAGCTTCTAGAACAGCTACAGCACCACCACTGGGACCTGTTGACGTGCAGTTGGAGAAGGACACGTGGCTGTATGGGATTGGAGGAAAGGGCACGGGAGACAAGAGGCGAGGAGAAGGGACGAGGAGGGGAGAGGAGAGGAAAGGAGAGGAGAGGAAAGGAGAGGAGAGGAAAGGAGAGGAGAGGAGAGGAGAGGAGAGGAGAGGAGAGGAGAGGAGAGGAGAGGAAGGGAGATGGAAGTGGAGGAAAGAAATTAGGCTGATGGCTCAGACATTGAATCGAAGGAGGTTTGGGACCTTCGCCTCTAAGTGGGAATATACGCGTATAGCGTATATACACGTGTCGTATATACGCTAGCGTATATACGCTATCCGCTTAGGGGTCCGGTTTGCAGATACGCTTTTTCGGGCAGAGGAAAAACTTTCCGGGCAGGTGAAAAAAGTACTCCCTCTTCTTATTAAGGCTTGCCCTAGCATAATCCTGAATCCGAATGACTAGTACAATGGGAGGTGGAGTAGACCTAATAGCTTGAAAGCGAAGTAGCGTGAACTCTGGTGAAAGCGGGAACGAAATGACGAGTTAGGGTTAGCCAAAAGGGTTGGCTGGTAAGTACCGTGAGATTTGTTGGGGGGTTAAATTTGACAGGTTGGTGTTTGTAGATAAAGTGGGGTTCAATGCGGTAGAAGGGATGGATTTCAATCCCTATATGGATCTCAAATTCAAGATTTGCCAGACGACTTCGAAGTCAGATCCCCGTTTGCCTAGACCGCGGATTTGAATTTCGACTATGGCGAAATGCTCACCTAGGAATTTTTTTTTGCGATTTTTTTCGGGCAGCCCTAAAAATTTTCTGATAGCGTATAGCGTATTCGCTAGCGTATAGCGAATAGCGGATAGCGTATGTACGCTAGCGTACATACGCTATACGCTTAAGGTGTTAAGCGTATATTCCCACTAAGCTTCGCCTTACCTTGCCTTATCTTCCCTTACAGTACCGCATTACAGACCTGAGCACTGTACGGTACCCATCCAGCAGCAAGCAGCACGCACTCCCCTGAACGTGGGTACGTGCGTGCTGCAGCAGCAAGCAGCACGCACTCCCCGTTGTCACTCCATTAAGCACACTCAGGTCTTCCACCTTCAAATCTTGCTGCTGTGCTGCTACCCACACCGCCTCCCACCACTGCCACTCACCTGAGCAGCACCGCATAGCACCGCACTACGCACCTGAGCACCGCACGGTACCCATCCGGAAGCAGGCGGCCTCCACTCCCCGTTGTCACTCCACTCAGGTGCTCCACCTTCAGCTGCGGTTGCTGTGCTGCTACCCACACCACCTCCCCCTGCTTCCAGCCACTCACCTAAGAAGCACCATACAGCACCACAATACATACCTGAGCACCGCACGGTACCCATCCAGCATCAGGCAGCCGCCACTCCCAGTCGTCACTCCATTAACCACACTCAGATACTCCACCACCAACACTGGCTGCTGCTGCCCACACCAGGTTTTAGGAGCAGCACCAGCAGCAGCAGCAGTAGCAGCAGCAGTAGGGGTGCTTTGGCATGAGGCAACAAGGCAAGGGCCACCGTTACAGTCAAGCACGGCAGGAGGGGAAGGGAGGCCAGGGCCAAGGATGGTGAGGGCGAGGAGGGGAGGGAGGAGGATGGGGGCGGATGGAGGGGGAGCGGTGCGGGTATATGTTCCTGAAGCGAGTGTGATTGTAGCGTTGTCAGATGCTCTGAAAAAAGGTGGGAGTTCAGCGGGAGAAAGGGAGGGAGGAAGGAAGGGGTGGGGAAGGGGGGGGTGCAGGAAAGGTGGGAGAGAGCGGCAAAAGTAGGCAGGACATAAAATCTCCGTTGCTAACATTTTTTAGGCGCCTCAAAAGGTGGGGAAGGGGGGGGTGCGGGAAAGGTGGGAGAGAGTGGCAACAGTAGGCAGGACATAAAATCTCCATTACATAAAATCTCCATAACAGCAAACATAGGGGCGCAAGCATGAGAAGCGGGGGGTTGGGAAGGGCAATCGGAGTGGCAGTGAAAGGGCTCTTAAGCCAATGAGAACCCTTCCCTATGAGAGCCCTTCCCTTTGAGAACCCTTCCCTTTGAGAACCCTTCCCTTCTGTATGGCTTTTGGCAGCAATTTTCATCTGCTCGCTATCGAGGAGAAGTATGAGAATCCAAAGATCACGGATGTCAACCTTTGAACGCGCCACTGAAGTTCCTTTAGAATCGACACAACGAACAAGGGAGGGAATTACCTCTAAACACCGCATTGAAGTGACCGAAAGCCACATGTACAAAGTGTAGTTTTGAGACGTCTCAGACCTACACTTTCTACACGTGAATTACCTCTGAACGCCCCATTGAAGTGACCGACAGGGAAACGGAACAAATGTGCTAAAAGTGCTGTGATTGTGATTGTTGACTTTTGAGCCGACTCAAAAGTGCTGTGATTGTTGACTTTTGAGCCGACTCAAAAGTGCTGTGATTGTTTCGACGAGGTAGCTGGAAATGCAATGGGCCTGAAAACCCCACTGCCCAGCTACAAAACGCAAGGAGGCACCAATGCATGTGTGCATCAGGACATTGGATGGTGGGTGGGTGGGGTGCGGTGCGGTGCGGTGGTGAGTGGTGAGTGGTGAAGACTGTTGGGACCAACCTTGCTACCGGAGTGCTTTTACAAAAGCATTATGCAACGTTTTTTTTTTTTTTTTTGGGGGGGGGGGGGGGGCTTCTAAAAAACGACTTGGACGGTGGAACGGTAAAGGTTAACGGGACACACCTTGCTAGAGCTGCTTCCAGTGAGCCTGCAGACGGTCGACAAGGGAGACGGAGATGAAGTGTGGGGAAGACAAGAACAGGGAGACGGAATGAAGCGTGGGGAAGACAAGAACAGGGAGACGGAATGAAGTGTGGGGAAGACAAGAACAGGGAGACGGAGATGAAGTGTGGGGAAGACAAGAACAGGGAGACGGAGATGAAGTGTGGGGAAGACAAGAACAGGGAGACGGAGATGAAGTGTGGGGAAGACAAGAACAGGGAGACGGAGATGAAGTGTGGGGAAGACAAGAGCAGGGAGACGGAGATGAAGTGTGGGGAAGACAAGAACAGGGAGACGGAGATGAAGTGTGGGGAAGACAAGAACAGGGAGACGGAGATGAAGTGTGGGGAAGACAAGAACAGGGAGACGGAGATGAAGTGTGGGGAAGACAAGAACAAGAGGGCATGCCACAACAAGAGGGCATGCCACAACAAGAGGGCATAAGGCACTCACAAATGGGGAGAGGACAGGGATTGGCTTAAGGCACTCACAAATGGGGAGAGGACAGGGATTGGCTTAAGGCACTCACAAATGGGGAGAGGACAGGGATTGGCTTAAGGCACTCACAAATGGGGAGAGGACAGGGATTGGCTTAAGGCACTCACAAATGGGGAGAGGACAGGGATTGGCTTAAGGCACTCACAAATGGGGAGAGGACAGGGATTGGCTTAAGGCACTCACAAATGGGGAGAGGACAGGGATTGGCTTAAGGCACTCACAAATGGGGAGAGGACAGGGATTGGCTTAAGGCACTCACAAATGCATACACACCCACACGTGTTTAATGGACTTGCCACGTGTTTGACTGACTTGCCACGTGTCACATACCGCAGGGGCTGTCCTGGGAGCCGCAGCAAGCGGAGAGAGCGCCCTTGGGATCCACGAAGAGGGCGGAGGTGCTTAGGGTGCAGTCTGGTGCTGTGCGGTGCAGATGGAGGGGAGAGGAGAGGGAGGGGGAGATAGGAGGAAAGAGGAGGTGATTAAAGGGCTGAGGTGATTAAAGGGTCGAGGTGATTAAAGGGTCGACTCAGAAAACAAGCGGACGCCCTTGGAATGCATGAAGAGGGCGGAGGTGCTTAAAGGTGGGGGGGGGTTGACCCATTGCTGTGTGGTGGGGCAAGTGGGGGGAGAGAAGAGGTCTGGAGTTTCAAATCACAGCACGTGAGGGCGTGTGTGTGTGTGTGTGCAAACACATCCGCGCATGCGCGCGCGCACACACACATACACACCTCCCCACACACAAATCCCCCACAAACACCTCCATCACACACCCCCTTCTCCCACACACACCTCCATCACACACCCCCCTCTCCCACACACACCTCCCCACACACTCCTCCCCACACACACTCCTCCCCACACACACTCCTCCCCACACACACTCCTCCCCCCACACACACCTCTTCCACACACACACACACACCACACCACCCCACCACACAACACACACACAACTCCCCTACCCTCACACGTACCCGCCGCTGGCGCTGCTGCTGTCGGGTGGGTGCAGCAAGCAGAGAGGGTGCCCTAGGGATGCACGAAGAGGGCGGCGGTGCTCAGGGAACCACACCACACCACATCACACCACACCACACCACACCACATCACACCACACCACACCACACCACACCACACCACCACCCCCACCCCCACCCCCACCCCCCCCACACACACACAACTCTTGAGGCGCCTCAAAAGTACCCCCCCCCCCACCCCCCACACACACACAACTCCCCTACCCTCACACGTACCCGCCGCTGGCGCTGCTGCTGCAGGGTTGATGAGAGACGACGGCGGGAGGAGGGAGAGGAGGAGGAGGAGCAGTGGAAGGAAGGGGATGTGGGAGGGAATCAGAGAGGCGGGTGACACGTGGCGGTGTGAATGGAGGGATGCGCGCCGAGCACGTTGGCGGGGAGTTGATGTTTCCACGCTCCCCATGACCGCCACGTGCTATCTGTTGCTTAAATATCTGCGGATTCTGAATTGAATAAAATCGGCAACTAATGCGAACGCGGGAGCGGACGGATACGGATACTGTTTCCAGCTTTGTATGCACTGTGTCGTCCTCCCGCCGCCTACTATTGCCGAAATGAGGGTATTCGCTTGGTCAAAGCCGTGGCGTGCTGGCGACGCCGAAGCCTGGAATGTGTACGACGGTCGACGGCGGCGACCGCGGCGACGGCGGCACGGCGACGACGGCGACAGCGGCGACGACGACGACGACGACGGCGACGACGTCGACGACGACGACGGCGACAGCGGCGACGACGATGACGACAGCGACGACGACGGCAGTGGCTACGTAATCGCTACTTGTTCGGAACTGGTTCACCACGAACGCGACAGCGGCAACGACGCTGGCGAAAACATCATGCGAGCTTCGCCTAACGCAATTCCGTTGGAAGCGAGCTTCGTTAAATTAACTACCCCTTGTGTACCGACCAAGTTGACCGAGCCGGGGTGGTGATTAATAGGTCGACTTAGTGAGGGTGGTTAGACTGTCGGAGAATCGGTTGAATTCGTTCCGCGTAGCATATAAATAGAGCACTCTCGGGAATTCGAGCTAATATGTCTGGGGCTGTCGTGTTTGTGAGCGGTACGAGAATGCGTCACGTACGAACGCCCGTTAGTACATACGTCATTGGCAAATGCGCGTTAGCGAAGGCGCGTTAGCGAATGTGCGTTAGCTGCAAAATCATTCCCACCGAGTGGAGAAGGGACGCGCGCATTGGAGCTACGGAGGAAAGCAGCGTTAGCGCACCGCGTGAGAGCACGCATAACAGCACCCCGTGAGAACACAAAGGAATAAAGTTATCTGAACCACCCTAAACAAACGAAGCGTCACGTGAGAGTAATCAGGTATTGGTTCCGCGTGAGCGACGTAACTACACGAGTACCGTGCAGTCCGCTACTATGTTTCAAGTGACAGACCGCAGGGCCGAACGAGACGCGATGCAGTTCCGTGAAGGCGACACAGAAGCGCTTCGACGATTCTATCAAATTCGTCGGAATGAGTGGCGTGGCGTTACTTTCCTATCTGTAAGGCGAAAAACGGATAACCGGAGCAAACTGAACGAGAGACGCGCGTGAAGGTTGAGTGATTTGGTTCATGTTCTTGCCAACTACACCCCTCTCCCATGTGTGGTGGTTGAAGTGAATGTGATGGGAAGGGAAAGGAAGGATGGATGTTCGATTTGCTTGCTCACTCCCTCCCATACCTGCCGTCGTTACTCGTTTCTTCCAAACCAATTTACCAAACCATGGCTGTCGTTTCCGTAGTGGCCGCTCAGCGTGTAAAACAAACCTCTCAAACTCATGGTTTTAGCGAAAGGGTCATCCCTAGCTAGGGCGTGTTTCAACCGTCGGGAGGGTCCTACAATCCTTGTTGGATCCGTATGATGCAGCATGGTGGTGTGGGTCCGTTCTTTTACTTCCCAGTTCTGAAACCCCAAGCTTGGAAGAGACTTCTCTCAGACAGTTTTATTCACGCTATTCTCTTAGCCAGTTTTTGAACTGTATGTAAACGGAAGCGATTTCAACCGCACCAGCTTCCAGACCAGAATGGAAAGTTAAAGTTAAAGTTATTTTTTCTGGTCGTAACCAGTTTAGGGGTATCCATTCCTAGATGAGGGGGTGGGTTCGATCCCAGGACCTCATCTATAGCATAATATAGCTCAGCCGACGAAAACTGCCGCCCATTTTCGCGGTTCAAAACGGACAACCCCCTTCCTCGTGGTTGACGACCCCACGACGACCTCCGCGTGGAAAGCCCAGCCTATCTGGCTAGGCCCGGTGCTGGTGAGCCCTCGGGATGGTCGACGACCTGTCGACCTCGAGTTCCGCTGAGGCAATCCCGAGAAGGACGTCTCAGCCGCGTGTCAGAATACCAGCTCGGCAAGTCGGGCCGCGATGATCGCCACGCGGCCACAAAGGGACGCCCGAGATAGTCCCCTGGATGGCGGGGCCGCCGAGGTCTGCCAGGTTGGACACGACGGGCCAACGGAAGGTCGGGGTGCTTCGCTTGGGAGAATCTCGCGCATGAACGTGGCAAGGTCGGTGCATACCACACGGCATTCATCCAACGGTTGCTCACATGCGCAAGGAGAAATCCGGCCGTCCACTATCTATGGCTACGTGCAGTGGACACTGATGTGTCAGAACTATATAGCTTATACTATTGTGTAGGCTATAGTGGGGTATCCCATAGGGGGTACAACCCAATTAGGGTTTCCTATTTGTACTCACTTCTTTCATAGTCATTCCATTCTCGTTCTCTCTTTCACATGGAATCAGAGCAGGTCCCCTACTAGGGACTGTTTCTTGGGCCCACCGAAGCGCGCCCCGAGGCGCGCGTCCTTTTTTTTAGCGACCCGTCGTGTCGCCCTCCCTAGCGGCCTGTCGAGCCGCCCTACCTTGCGGCCCCGCCGCCCTATCGCGCGGCCTCGCCGCCCTAAGTCGCGGCCTGCCCGCCGCCCTACTTCGACGGCCCCGCCGCCCTACGTCGTGGCCCGCCGCCCTACTTCGACGGCCCGCCCGCCGCCCTACGTCGCGGCCCCGCCGCCCTGCGTCCCGGCCCGCCCGCCGCCCTACTTCGACGGCCCGCCCGCCGCCCTACGTCGCGGCCCCGCCGCCCTACGTCCCGGCCCGCCCGCCGCCCTACTTCGAAGGCCCGCCCGCCGCCCTACGTCGCGGCCCCGCCGCCCTCAGCTACGCGGCCCCGCCGCCTTCTGCTACGCGGCCCTGCCGCCCTCTGCTACGCGGCCCCGCCGCCCCTCGATCGCGGCCCCGCCGCCCTCTACTCCGCGGCCCCGCCGAGCCGCCCAGCATCAGCCGAGCCGCCCAGCAGCAGCCGAGCCGCCGCCGAGCCGCCGCCGCCTGAGCCGCCGTCCGGGCCGCCGCCGAGCCGCCGCCGCCTGCGCCGCCGAGCCGGAGCCGCCCGAGCCGCCGCCGAGCCGCCCAGCAGCAGCCGAGCCGCCGCCGAGCCGCCGCCGCCCGAGCCGCCGCTGAGCTGCGACCGAGCCGCCGCCCGAGCCGCCCGAACCGCCCGAGCCGCCCGAGCCGCCCGAGCCGCCCGAGCCGCCGTGCTGCTGTTCCTGAGCTGTGTTCTTCTGCTGCTGACCTACCCGACTCTCCCAGCCCGGTGAGACTTCCAGCTGCTGCCATGGCCACCCCCAATGTTCTTACTTTTGACGCTGAGGGGAGGGCCATTGACTTTGCCGTCTGGATTGAAGACCTGCAGCTGTACTTACTGTGTGATGCGATAGATGAGGTCTCTCTTTTTGACTTTGTCTCTGGCGCTGTTCCTGCCCCACCTGCTGATGCTGACTCTGCCGTTCGCTCCAAGTGGGCGACCCGCGATGCTGCTGCACGTCTTGCTGTGCGTCGCCACCTCCCTTCCTCTAAGCGTGCCCACTTTAGTCAGTGCAAGACCGCTCAGGCCTTGTACGACGCTGTAGTTGCACGCTACTCCTCCCCTTCCTCCGCTACCCTTAGCCGCCTCATGCTACCGTTTCTCTTCCCTGACCTCGCTTCCTTTCCCACTGTCGCTGACCTCGTTACCCACCTCCGTGCTAGTGACACCCGCTACCGCGCTGCCCTTCCTGCTGAGTTCCGCGCTGCGAACCCTCCTCCCATGTACATCACCCTCTACTTTCTCGTCACCCGTCTCCCTGAGTCCCTTCGTGTCGTTAGGGACCAGTTTCTCTCTGTCTGTCCCACCACTCTCACTGTCGACCTCCTTGAGGAGTCCCTGCTAGCGGCTGAGAAGAGTATTGTCGCTGTAGGGGCCTCTCGGGGTGACCCTCGCACCCCCATCTTTGAGGGGTGTGGTCCTTCCCCCCTGCTGCCCTCTGTCGCCTCTGCCGCTGCGGCCGACCTCACTGGTTTTGAGTCGGTCGGCGCGGCGTCTGCCCCCAGCGGCAGACGCCGCTCTGGCAAGAGCAAGGGGGGCAAGGGAGCGGGTGGAGCTCGAGGGGGCGGTGGAGGAGGCGGTGGGGGTGGCGGGGGGAGTGGGGGTGGCGGTGGGGGTGGTGGCGGGAGTGGAGGTACTGGTGGCGGCGGTGGAGGCGGAGGTGGCGGCGGAGGTGGTAGCGGAGGAGGCGGTGGGAGCGGTGGGAGCGACGGTCCTGGTGGGGGAGGTGGCGGTGGAGACGGGGGTGGCGGTGGAGGCGGGGGTGGCGGTGGAGGCGGGGGTCGGAGTGGCTCTTCCCAGCGGAGCAGCTCTGGGGGTGGTCAGCGCCAGCAGCAGCAGCAGCAACAGCAGCAGCCGCAGCAGCAGCCACAGCAGCAGCAGCGCTCTCGCACCGTCCCCGGCCCTCAGCAGCTCCGTGAGTGGTACTTGCAGCGTCAGCGTGGTGGTGCGCTTGGTCCCTGCCCCTACGTTCTTCGCACAGGTGACCGTGCAGGGGAGAGGTGTGGAGGCGCCCACACAGCCCGCCGCTGCTTTGGCCGCCTGACCGACGCCTGGCGTCAGCAGTTTCCGGAGGCCGCTGAGATCCCCCGCTGGGGAGAGCTGTCTAGGGCTGGTGTAGCTATTTATGATCTTGATTTTGATGCTATTCTCTCTGCTATGTATGCTGTGACTGGTAGTGATGAGGATGACTGTTACCGGTGTTTCCCGCCCGACCCGGGCATTGGTACTGCCGCGTCAGGTACTAGTGAGGCTGCTGCTCTAGGTGCCAGTGCGTCTGTGCTCTCAGGTGCTGGTGAGTCTGCCCTCTCAGGTACTGTGTCGGCTTCGGCCTCTCACACCTTCACCCTTGACTCTGGAGCGTCTCGCTCCTTCTTTAGGGACCGCACCACTCTCACGCCGCTGAGTCGGCCGGTTGCGGTGTCCCTGGCTGACCCCTCTGGGGGGCCTGTCCTGTCTCGCTTCTCCACTGTCCTCCCGTGTCCGGCGGCCCCCTCTGGCACCCTGACTGGTCTCTACCTCCCCTCGTTCTCGACGAACTTGGTGAGTGGTGCTGACCTCCAGGATGCGGGTGTCCACCAGTTCACCCCTGCTCGTCAGCGGGTGACCCACTGCACGGAGGCGGATACAGGTCGCCACCTGGCTACGTTTACACGTCGGCCAGGGTCGAGCCTGTACACACTGACCACTGCTTCTCCTCCAGGTGCTGAGTCTGGTAGGGTCCCTTCGTCTGGTCAGGTGTTTGCTGCAGCGTCCAGGTCTGGTCCTGAGTCTGCCCCCTGCTCGTGTCGTCGTCTGTCTCACGAGACCCTCCTCTGGCACCACCGCCTTGGCCACCCCTCTCTGCTTCGGCTCAGAGGCATGGCCTCGCGAGTCCTTGTGTCTGGTCTTCCCCGGTCTCTCCCTCCCCTTCCTCCGGGCCCTGGCCCTACCTGTGTCCCCTGTGTCGAGGGGCGCCAGCGGGCTGCCCCTCACTCCTCCCAGTTTCCTCCGACAGAGGCCCCGTTGCAGACGCTTCACATGGACGTGTGGGGCCCAGCCCGCGTCCGTGGACAGGGTCAGGAGCGCTACTTCCTGCTGGTGGTTGACGACTACTCGCGTTACACCACAGTCTTCCCCTTGCGCAGCAAGGGTGAGGTCACTGCGGTGTTGATCGACTGGATCCGCGCAGCTCGTCTCCAGCTTAGGAGGAGCTTTGGCTCTGACTTCCCTGTTTTGCGTCTGCACTCGGACAGAGGCGGAGAGTTCTCCTCTGGCCTCCTGAGTGCCTACTGTCGTGCACGAGGCATCCGTCAGACCTTCACGCTTCCGGACTCACCACAGCAGAATGGGATTGCTGAGCGCCGCATTGGCATGGTCATGGACGTCG